CAGCCTTTGTACTATAACACTCAGAGTTTGAACTCGTGTGTCAAAATGGATCGCGACATAGCAGTTGTATCTGTGGGCTCCAATAGAGAAACAAACAATATAATTACTTCTAAAATCAAATTTAAATCTAACTAAATTTATAATTGTGTACCTTGAAATATAACTTCATACATTATTAAATTTAGGTACGCTAAGTAGACTTGGCAATCGCTAACTGCCATTTAATCCACGCTAAAATAACGCAATCAACCATTTACGTATTGATACCTACACAATTTATTATTCAATTAGGCTATAATAAATTTACAGTTTAATATTAGTCCCGGTAATAGGATTTTTTAACACGCCTTTACTTAGTTTGAGATAATATATCTATATATTGTTATTTTTATAAAATCTTTTGGTTATTTTTAGTTTGGTTTGATACTAAAGCGTATTTTTGGTTTGTTTAAATTGAGGGTATACTTCTTCTTCTTCTTATTCGAATACTTCATTGCTGAAGGTCGTGTCCTTAAAAGCCCTTCGTGGCTCTTTGTACCCTCAGCTTCCATTTGCTTCAATAATAATAATCAAAAAATAATAAGAACACATTATGATTCCCGCCTGATGGCAATATTTCCTCCAAATATAAGTAATTGTATATAATATATTTTTATACATATTTTCAATATACAATATACATTTTTTCATTTAACCAAATAATTCAGTGATTGATTTTTAAGCAGTTTAACTGCGAGCTTAGGAGTTAAAAACAAATTCTTAATTAGGAATGAGACGTGGAATGCTAAGTGAAACATAATTCTAATGTCTTATTTTCGAGAAAGTTCAATTCTAAATTCAATTAATTGTATTAACTAGAGAATGTTTAAAAAAGTAATTAATTAATCAATTCGTAATAGTTGAAAACGAACTGGAAAACTTTTTTTACTTATTTTGATTTCGATCTCCCGCGCGCAGCCCTTCGACCGCTTTTTATAACCAATCACTAACTTAAATTCTCCACGACGAATTAAATTATTATTTGTAACGTTTTCCTAATTTAAATTCGTTATAGTTTACGCAATTTCAGAGTAACTTTTACTTTTGCCATAACTCAGTCATTTCATCAATTATATTGGCCGATTCAAATTATAAAATAAAGTTATTTACACTTAATAATATTTCAATTTAAACGAAGCACATTTAAACATCAGTGACTTATAACCGGACACAGTATTTCAGGAACAATTGCATAAAAAAAGGCATTTGACATTACGCTTTGAGATAATTAGAATATTTAACCCATATCTACCTATTGCAAATATTTCTGTGTAAACTTTAGAGTGTTGGAATTTCTGGCGTTGATATTTTGAGCATTACTCGGACTATTTAGGCTTGACTTTTAAATGTGAGGAGTTCTCATCAGAGCGAAGCTATACGTCACGCTAACGACAGCCACGGGGTGGGGTTGACGCTATCGCCGGTATTGAACACGCAGCTTTACTTAAATGTAATAAAATAAGTTGTTTTATAAAAGACAAAAATAAACAGATAAGCAAAACTGAACATCATTTGTAGTGTGTCCGAGGCCTCAACCTAAGGAAGGTAGCAAACATTCATATTATATTGGGTATTGCCCCAGCTGGAGGATGAGCTAGTCTCTTCGATCGCATGTTAATTCAGTAGTCTTGGCTTGGTTAAACTTGTCTTTGTTTCACATGTATTTGCGTCATCTATAACATAAGAGAAAATAATAACTTAAAGTTAATGTTTATTTTTTTGCCTGTAGTAAATTTTTAATTTGATTACGAAGTGCAAGTGTACCGACCGATCTTCCTTACATCGCTATGGAAGCTATTAAGTTTGTTAACAAAATCACAACAGAAAATTTCAAATAAACATCAACACAACAAGAAACCGTTTTCAAATTGACTGATTGCGAGCGATTAAAAAAAAATAACATAATACTACTTACTACGTAGCAACAATTTACAAAACTTTCGTTAACACGACGCGAATGTATGGCAATCAGCGATTCAGAACGGTTCTGCAACAAATCGATCGCGTTTCGAAACTAGTGTTAGTTCGGATAATGAACTAAAGTGAGCAAAAATTTCGATTTAGATAAATTGAGTATGACCGCACTCACGGTTTAATATGAATCAATCAACGTAATGGAGTTGTTACGTTAAGCAATATACGAGAAATATTGTTTGTCGTGATCTTTGTTTGGCGCGTAGTGTCGCCCAAGAATATCAACATCCCACCTTTTTACGTGTTATTGCGTAATGTCATCGCACCTCCCGCCATCGGAGCAGAGTTAATCCATATTATCTGGAACCGCTGCGTTCATCGACAGTGCGTTTCCAAAGATCTTTTTTGCCACGTACCATCCGGTTTTGGAATGAGCTCCCCTCCACGGTGTTTTCCGAGCGCTATGACATGTCCTTCTTCAAACGAGGCTTGCGGAGAGTACTTTATGGTAGGCAGCGGCTTGGCTCTGCCCCTGGCATTGCTGACGTCCATGATTGACGGTGACCACTTACCATCAGGTGGGCCGTATGCTCGTCTGCCTACAAAGGCAATAAAAAATAAATAAATAAAATGTCGCTAAAGAAATCATCGGAAAATGGATGTAGGCAAGACTATGCACCTATTATTCTTCTTTTACTAGAAACGCAGTGACTCAGCACTACCACTAGATATTCTTCTTCTCAGTCGTATGCACTCTTGGCGGAGTGGTCATGGTCATCATTTCGGATGGTGGTGCAGTTTACCAGACGTCGCCATTTCTCGCATACCGCGGCCCTTCATGGGCACTCGTTAACGGGACCATTAAGAGCTGCCTTTATTTCTGGTTTCCAACCCTTCGATTTCAGGCCATGCGCATTCAGCTCTCCCCCACAGCTTTTGATTAAATCGTAAAACTATCTCGTATATTGCCTTCGCAGATATCAACGCCATATAATTATATAATTTTAACTGAAATCAGGGTAATCGCAGAGGTATAAGTAAGTAACCACGTTGGTTATACATTAGGATTTCTTTCGCAACACACGCCCGTATCTGGAGCCATCTAATTAAGACGTTTTGCTCCCGAATGAGAGGCACTCTCACGCTCCAGTTGTGAATTACTGAAACACAAATTAACATCTAAGCGATTTACGCTACGAACGTAAAGCATTCAGAAAAGATTGTTTCATCGCCGCACGTCTGGAAACTTTTGTATAAATATGATAACGCATATGTTTTTAACTCCATTTTCACCAGACGAAGTATTCTTAGGAATGTGCAGACACAAAAATGCAGATACACAAAGTATCGATGTCCGAGTGCTTTGACTTGTACTCTCGATTTTGTTTGCAGTGTTGAATGTTTAAAATCGTTTTGGTGTTAAGAACCTATCAGAGCCTGTAGACTTTGTAACAGCAACTATGATAGAACAAAAGATATTTGATAAAGACCTGAATCCAGGCTAACGAATTATACTTGCAAGTTAACAACATTCACACAGTCGTAGATCTACGTGCGATAACATCTGCTCGAGAAAGATCTACTCTTTTACATACCCTTTAGAATAAACAGAGAACAGGGCTTAGAGACATAGACAATATTTTTTATTACTTAAATGGGTGGACGAGCTCACGAACCAACTGGTTTTAACTGGCTATTTGAGCCCATAGATATCAAAAATGTAAATGACACCACCTACCTTGGGACATGGGTTCTAAGCCTTAGCTTTATAGTACTACGAAAGCACAAAGGCAACAATAGGCAGGGTAGTGGTACCTACCGGAAAAGGCTCACAAGACGCTTTACCACCAGTAGTTATGTATATTATAATTTTTGCGGGTTTTGCTTTTAACACACAATGTTATTTTTTCACCGTGGAAAAGGCCATAACGGCCGCAACCATAAAGACCAAACTGGCATAGTCACATCGCTCAATACGAATGCATAAGACATCTTATCCTTTAGGCCACGACGACTTTAATAATGTCGTTATATAACATAAACATAAATTACAAATTAACATAAATTAGAAGTCTCACAGCTTTCGGAGTCTAAGAGTCATGTTTTAGCAGAGAGCAGCAATGAATAGAACCTTCTCATATCGGACGCCAAGATCCTTTTTAGGTTGTTGAGCTATTCCAATAACTAATACAATATTTAAAAAAATGAGAAAAGCATAGTAGTCCTTTTTTATTTCTCAAACGATTTTCTTTAGTCATTATTGACGAGTTTTTTTATAGGTGCCGCATTACTTTGTTGAGGACACCCAGTATTTTCGAAGTCAGTTTGACTGAACCTACCCTTTTTTTTCCTACCTTTTCTAGTAACCATAATAGATACACCGCGCTAGTAGTTGGGGTTACGGGTCTCTAGCCTGACTAAATTTTTGCTAACACTAGCCCTACTGTGTTGTAAATGTACTGAGCATCGCTCGTAATGTCGACCCCAATAAAAAAAATATCGACTTCTTTGCTCGACGTTCTTAAATAGCGTTTACACTATTTAATATTTACATACGGATTTTAATTTAAACTTCACTTATTTCGAACACTTTCAGAACAGTGCTCAGTTTACCGCACGAAATCTTCTATTACGGATTTACCGTAACCTATTTTATTATAAGCCGGCTAATACTAGTTTACTGGTGGTAGGACCTCTTGTGAGTCCGCACGGGTAGGTACCACCGCCCCGCCTATTTCTGCCGTGAAGCAGTAATGCGTTTCGGTTTGAGGGGCAGCCGTTGTAACCATACTGAGACTTTAGAACTTGTATCTCAAGGTGGGTGGCACATTTACGTTGTGGATGTCTATGGTTTCCAGTAACCACTTAACACCAGGTGGGCTGTGAGTTCGTCCACACATCTAGGCAAAAAAAAAAAAAAATTCTTTTTATACTTAGCATTAATGAGTTTACACATGAACGCGCATGGTTCTGGATTAGTCAATCCGTCGATATCTTTCGGCTTCGGTTAAGGTATAGGCGCGGTATTATTGTTCTGTAGTGCGGAGGTGAGTGTGCGCCAGCGCAAACACGCATCGGTCTTCCGTCAGCATTCAGTGCAGCTACAACACTGGCCGCGTACGAACTTAGGACGATAACTTCATATTAGAGTGAACTGTGAACTCGTTTGTGGCTTGTGTCTGTGAATTTAAGTTCGACGTTCTGGCAGTATGTATTTTTTTTTTTTATTATAAATTTTATTTAAAAAAAAAAAAAAGTTATCTTCGTAAGAGCATAGATATTTTTTGTAAGCGTAAATAATTTATTTAAACTTTTAAATATTTTTTTCTGTGAAAATTGTTATGAAAATAAAAAACACCTAATTTTCATTTCTGTCGAAGTTAGATAGTTCCACGGCTCGACTGGTCATAAGTGGTCAGTACTTACGGTTAGACGTATTCTTTAAAATTAACTGCTGTAACGAAGTCATCATAATGGAAAACAAACCTTTTGACATCTTGAAATTTTTTTTTTTATTTGTTGTTTTTTTAAATATGAACGGAAAAATATATATTTTTAGTATCAGTGGTAAATAAGCATACTGTTACACCTAATAGAAAACTATTATTGTCACTCATGAATTTCTGTAATGCCAGGAACACGACCAATTCGTTGCTAAGATTCAAAAAATATTTAAAAGTGCTTTTTTAATATTTAGATTTAATTAATTTAAATAGCATTTAGAAGAAGAGAAAAAGGAAAGATACTAGGGAAGATACTAGATTTTATCATTCGATTACTGCATCTAATTTTTTTTAATAATAAATTATATTTCAAATGAGACAGGACGAAGTTGTTTTATAATTATCATTAGGTTTGCGGCCAACAGTGGTTCATTTTCGAAATATCGTCGGAAAATTAGAGCGCTTTACCAGAATAGTGCAAATCAGTTTGTTGAAACAAAATTGCGATACAAATTAGCATGCCTGTAACAATCGATGTCCGATTTTTTTTTTCTAATTTCCTAACCTCCGACACGGTTTGCGTGAAATATTTGCCTACGTTCGACTGCAACTAAGATTCCTGTTAGCGAGAAAACTCTAAAATATTACTTTAAAAATATGAAGCTTTACGTTTTTTAATAAAAAAACCCAATGAATAGAATTCTTAATTTAAAAAAATAACTCCAATCTTAAATTAATTCTTCACAGCCGTATTTTTATAGCCTTGTTTTTTTAATAATAAAAAAGGTGCTTAATTCGAATAAAATGTGTAATAACTTTTTCTTGTGGAACAGCAATTACAAAGAACTAATAAACATACTGCATCTTACTGCTCAAATGAGGAGTACAATATTTAGGATATTAGTTAATTAAAATACAATTTTTTTTTTTCTATTATTATTTGTCTAATATTGACATCCCAACACAACAAGTTCAACAATTTTATAATACTGGTCCCGCAGTAGTCGAAATTCGACTATAATTAATTGGAATTGTAAGTTTGTACACTATTATGATTGTATTTTATACTTCTTTAATCACAAATTTCGCCAAGACTACACTATAAAAAATATTAACAAAGACAAACAATAGTTAATCTCAATTTGACAACAGACGTCAAAAACAAAAGTTTGACATTAAATAGTATGCATGCGTGTGTGCGTCAAATACATGGTATGTAGTGTGTGTAATGTTTTCTTTATTGATTTAATGTATCTTTTATGCATTATTTTAAAAAAATATTAGCATTGTGCCCTTCTTCTCTATATTCTTTATAAGTGTGGAAAATTTCATACTCCTCCGTCCGCACAATTTTCGTAAAAAGGGATACAAAGTTTTTGCTTCACGTATTAATATATAATATTTAATAATCTGTAAAAAAACACCCGTAATTGTTACACGAATCTGTCGATATTCGCTGATATAATTCGTTATTTCAAATTTATTTTTAACCGTATTCAAAAAGGTATTTAACCAAATTCAAAATTTTAATTTCGTAAACACTAAAAATACACCAAGCAATGAGTTAATTCGGTTTTACAATTACAACAAAAAATGGAAAGAATTTAAATAGCAATCTTTGTGGATAAAAGTCGACGAAGAATGCGCATAGTTTTCACTTGGTCTAAATATCCCACGCCCGTAGCACTGATCTCGCAAAATCCATCATAATTTGAACTATGAGAGTAAATCTTCAACATACTACCTACGTGTCTTTTATTTTTTGACGCAAATGTAGTGCGATCATCGCGACCTACAAAGCAGCACTCTCACTGTCACAGACTCTGAGATTGAAGCGCATTATGCAACCGAAAGCAATCATGACAATTAATTAAATTCGCACCAAAACATCTGCGATAAACAACTTCGACTTTGTATTAACGTTTACTGAGATGTTGTTTTAAAAACAGTTACTATCAAAATATTTTCTTATAATTCATTATTTCGTATTTTCTAATTTATATACGACTTTTGTCCAACTGACGTTTTTTTGTTAAGATAGTCTACGTTTTTGCTGTCTTAAGTCTATTCCAGGATACAATTTGTATATTTAAAAATAATTAATATAATTACTCTTCGTAGGAGTTGTTGGATAGCCCCCGTGGTTCTACCATCCTGTCTATTTTTACAGGATTCATTGATCTTACCAATACCATAAAAGCAATACCATAAAAATAATACTTCAACAATACATCTCAAGATTCCTTGTGGCTTAATAAAATTATTTTATTTGTAAAAGAAAACGTATCGAATTTTTTTTCGAAATCACAATTAGACTTAGATATGCAATAAATATTAAATTGAATAATCCTTTTATTTATTTTATAATATATAGTATATTTAATTAATTTCAAAATCACATTTAGTTTTGTACGTAACAAAGCTACGTAATAGTCTAAATCTGGGTATATTTCATATTTTATTACGCAGTAACCAGGCATAAAACAATAGAACATACGTGCTGTGGTCATCGCAAATTATTTAATTACTAAACATGAATATTTAATACTCGCATTATTACAGTACTACTACGTACTAATAATACATAAACACAGTAATAATTTTCTATGTTTGTATAATTTTTTGAGAATTCTCATTCATAGCTCATACATCATTGGCATAATAATATTCTTTTTACGGTTTTATTAGTTGCTTTATTGTGACTTAGTTTATTTCAGTATACATCATACACGAGGAGGATTTTCTGAGATTATTTTTAAATGTCAATGTTATTTTTTTGTCTTGCCGTTTTTACTGAACGCTCAAATATTTTAAAATATTTTGTGGGTACTAACAAACTTTTATTTATACTAATCTATACTAATAATAATAATAATAATAATATTATAAAGAGGCAAGATTTGTTTGTTTGTTTGTATTGAATAGGCTCCGAAACTACTGAACCAATTTGAAAAAATCTTTCACTATTTAGAAGCTACACTATTCCTGAGTAACATAGGCTATAATATTTTTTGAAAAAATTAGTGATCTTACTAAAACTCCAATAATGTAAAGGTGTAAAAAAACTACTTAAAATATTCTTTACATCGCGTGCCCTGCGAAAACTATTGATGATAGAATAAAATAATTTACTACGATTTTGTAGAACACATTATTATTTATAAAAAGTGTCGCGACAGCATATGTCTAACTATTATAGTTATGCCGCAATAAGTGTTCTTTCCCCCCTGGCTGAGCCTTTGCTCGCCCACCTGTCCTGGTGAAACTGGAAAGGCCTCCGGGCCGGGCCACCAGTAATCTTTCAATCTTAAAAAAAAGTGTTCTTTTATTACACGATGTTTTTCCTTCACCGCGGAAGTCAATGCTAAGTACGTATTTCATTAGAAAAATTGGTACCCGTCTGCGGGATGCCAACACTGTTGCATCGCCAGATACGAATGCACCAGACCACAGATTATGACCGGATGTCTTATCCTTTAAACCACGGCTTCAAAGTAGCTATATTTAGATCGTTGTGTTCATGTGCCCTAGTAAGCGCTTTACAACAAACTGCCCTGAGGCCAATCCATTATCTACCCAATAAAAAAGCCCACAGCCAATCAGTATCAATCGACACATAAATGAAATCTTATAAAAACCTGAATCCTGCTTACTGAAGCATGAACATAACCCAACCAAAACTATTAAGCGTGTAACAGCATTGCGGCTGCTCATAGACAACAAGTAACAGCTTCTAAAAGCTGAAATATAAGCCGGAGAGAGTTACAATTGATGTTACATAAAGTTGAACAAATGTTAATGACATTGACGAATGATCACGCATCACAGTCGTTTGTCATTAGAGTTTAAGTCGCAAGATATACGCAAGTGCATTGAGTTTGTAACGTTATATGAGTCGTCTATTATCAAAGGTGGCAATCTGTGCATTTGGACAAAAAAAAATTATTGATATGCCAATACAGATTGATTTGAATATAATCGTCTCCTTCAAAGAATACGGTTCAAAACCTGCATTAAATAAAGATTAATAGTTAACCTGTTATTTATCTAAGATGTCGTTCCGAAGAGTTTTGTGACTGCCAATAGAATACAAAGTCAATAATTCGTTTTTCTGATTTACCAATCATTGTCCAAAAGTCAGATTGCCGACTTTGATAATAGTCGACTCATATGTAGGTACCTTTAATTCGCTGCTTAGATGTAATCATTGGTGACGTCATAAAATTTTAGATACACAAGTTTTTAGTTGTTGTGGGTGGAATTGAACGTTTACTTTTGGGATAATTACATCATTAAAGTAAAACGAATAGACTTAGTTATAATTATAAATTATCATTTTAATATGTCTATATTTAAAGGTTGGCTCACTATAACATTTTTATGCTAACCAAATTTGTTCTTACATAACAAAGCATTATTTGTGAAGGTGTTTTTATAAAGATTATATTAATCAAATATATAAAACAAATACGTTATTCATTACAACATTGAAACACCCAAAGCGTGATTTTGGTACCTTAAATAGCTCCTTAACATTCTCTATTATTCAAAAATATTTTCACTTTCTACGTAAATGAAGAGGCGGGTAAAATTTAGCGTTATGCCAAAGTAACTATTCCACGCGGACGAAGTCGCGGGCAAAAGCTAGTATCTCAATACTACCACTTAACTCTATGCCTGAGCTTGGAATCTTTGCAGTCCATTTGCATCTAAAAATGAATGTAGCCATGTGTAGGCAGATAGGCAACGGCCCAACTGATGATA